TCAAACAAAAACCTGATAAGGTTTTTTGTATGTTACCTGTCCTTAGGCCAACAGAAAATAACAAGGTCTGAAATAACATTTATTTCTCTAATTTCCTAAATCTCAACAATTTAGAGAACATTTTTTCTAGACAAAACAATAATCTCTAAATTACTTAACTACTCTCTCTACGAATTTTTTAAATCGAAAAATTATAAATACTAAGAAAAGGTTATAATAACAACCCCCTTTATGAGAATTAGATATTAATCTAACCATTAAATAATAATATTCTGACGACTGCTTTGCACCTAAACATACATAACTCCAATAAATTGTAAATTAAAATAGCTTTCATTATTATAACTTATTATTAATTAGACTATCGAATTAGTGAGTTATATTAATAGCTTATTTGATTGGTAACAGCATCGTGATCCGCCAGATATATTGTTTTAGTATAAGTCTTAAATACGAATTTATGAATTGCAGTAGTTATGATAACTCTATCATTTATGGGATGAAAAATCTGGATTACAAATCTTATCCCCAGATAATCGGATTCTTTCTAATTTAGAAGCTTAAGGAGCACTAATCTTGAAACTTTCTAACCTACACTAACGAAAAATCTTGGCAATGAGGATAAGGGTAGATTTCTTACTGATAAATTAATTAGGGGAATCAAAAATTGAGCGTTGCAGTCAAGAAATAAATACAAATTAATGAACATGAGAGAAAGATTTTATAGTATCTTAAAGGAAAGCAATTTAAACATATAATTTAAATAGTTACTTTTGAAGAAAGGCTTGATGAAATTTTCACAATTATGGAGCTTGGGGATTATTTAAATTTAAAAAACCTGCCAAATAAAGTACAGATTTGCTTATAAGTAAAATTTTCAATAAATTAGATGGCAAAAGGTGTTTCTGAATTATATAAATTAGGATTTTTTAATCGATATTTGAAACCAGCTAATTTAGTAATGGGCAAAGATAATAAAATCAATTAATAGATTTGGCAACTCGAAAACAATTCAGGAGAAACATCAAACTAAACAGATGGGTTCATGTAAATTTATGGCTTCTGAAATTTTACTTGAGAAATAAACTTAAATTGCTGTTTTTTGAGTTTTTTTGAGGCCTACAATAATATTATTTGAAAACTCTTTTAATCAAATGTGATCAGCAATTTCAACAACAATTTTTTTACTTCAATAGTCTTGCAGAAGAAGATGAATCCAATCTCTAATTACAACTCCATCAGGAGCTATAGTAGTAAAACCCCAAACATATATCAAAATACAAAAATTAAATAGATTATAACTATTTTTATTTTTGCAATTATTGATTACCCATTTGATAATTAAAATATACAACATTACTATACGTTTAGCCTAGTCGTGATGCCAAAAATTTAAATATTCTTGCTATTGGCAACTACCAACATTAGCAGCAACTACAACTACTTGCGCAGCCCCAAGCTGCTTCCATTTTTCTATTTGCAACAACTCATATTATTTTAACTTTCTTTTCATTATTTTCTGTTTGAAACTATACAGTATAATAGCAATGATTTGTCTTTTTATAGAAGCTAAAAATATCGACAATCTTACTTCCACCTTCCCATTCATACAATTCAACACCCTGCTTGTGCTGTCCAAAGGCTTATCAAAATATATCTACATTATTATCCCTGCATATGTATATTAGCAATTCTCGAAATTTCATAAAATTACGTACAAGTGCACCTGTTGAATGTCTAAATATCGCCATTTCAAGAGCTTCTATCAATTCTTCGCAATTTGCTGTCTATAAAGTTGCAAGATATCCTTATACTTGTAGTCTACTCAAAGATATGAGGTAATGTTGTTGGTTGAATATAAAAGTAGGTTGGATTAAGATGAAAAATGATGCATAATTATTTCAAATCATGCTTAACATAGTTATTAATCTATTCATAATCGTTTTAATTGCTCGTTAGCCATGAAATCTAATCTCTCTCGATTTCAATTTTAATCAATTAATTCAAATCGAATACTATGCATACCACTGAATTCCTGCTGATTAGCTATGAGCATAATAAAAATTTTAACATCTGATTCAGATTGCTGAGAAGTACCATCTAAGTTGGAACAGAATATTGCTGCTAGCATAATTTAATTGCAATGGCTGGGGGATGTTTACGTGAGGACAAAGGAAAAGTTAAGTATTTGCTAAAAATGATTATATCAAATTCACTAGTTACAAATTCATTAGCCAGGGTCATTTAGAGAGCTCATCATAAATTTAATATATTCTACAAATTAATGTAATGTAAATTGTATAAAATCTTTAATTCCTTTTGAAATGATAAAACAATAAAGAAAATAGTGGTAGTCAT